TTTTTTTGAACGGTCAAGGGGTAGTTTTCTGTAAGGATCTCGAGACACTTGTCCCCAGGAGGATTTCTATAGTACACAGTGTATAGTACCGGGGGGGACAGGGGGTGGTGGGACTTGCCGTGATTTACTGCGCGTGAAAAGGTGTGGATGTGGTTGTTGGGAAAATAGGGTTAGGCTCTACCAAGTAAGGGGTGACGCTTAGGGACTGTACGGTACAGGGATGGAGGACGAAAAAAAAAAAAGGGGGTACGAGCTATCCATTCTCCTGGCAATTAGCTTGAACCTAGAGCTAAACGCCGCTCTTGTCGAACGACCGTCTCCTGCGGTTTGTCGAAGGATTCCTCCGTGACCGAAATCGTAGTTGCATGTATACGGTGATCGAGATATCGATCGTTGAATTATTCGGCGTATATCGCACCTCGATTATAATCGATACCGTCTTGTGCGACACGGGGTATATCCGGGTTGAAATTTTATTCGTCCCAATTTTCACCCCCCTGTAAAAAAAAAAACCTACCCTCCACGTCCTTCCAGTCCATTCTCATCCCCGACAAGAGGTCTATACCGGGTGTACACAGAAACAGAGCGGATTAATGAAACGGATCGAAAGATCCTGTCCCATGTGTTTTACGTGTCCCTGAAAATTGGATTTAATATAGCAAACGTCAGCGCCGGCAAATATTCGCTGCTCAATTTCATTTTCCCCGTTTAATCATCCCTGGCCTGTATATACTGTACGCGTTTCCCCCTCTTCCGCTCCTCCAGGTCCGTGCCACTTGGGGGCAGGAGGTGGTTGCGGAGGTGATGAAGCCCACGGAGGTACCAGGAGGGCTGGTGGTGGCGGCGGCCAAATGACGAGGGGGCTCGGGGGGGAAAGAGGGCGGGCGCATAGCCCCGGTCGGGCCGTCATTTGTCAGGAGCTGTCGCGCCACGAGCGTGTTTCTGTTCCAGCGGCGCAGATAGCGGCCCATCCATAGGCCGTTCATCTTTATTCCTTTATATATAGAGGGGCCCGTCCTCCCTCGCCAGCCTCGTCCACCCTACACGACTCCCCGAACTCATTTAATTACAACAAACAATTTATTAGGCCCATCCGGGATACGCCCACGGCTATAAAACGGAGAGGGGAAACCAGTACGATAGGGGGGTACCCCCCCCCCACCCACCGCTTTGAAAATTTGACGAGAATAAAATTTTTTTTCAAAAATTGCACAATTTTCAACTTTACTAAATCCTCAAACCGGGGTGTGGTCCAGCCTGGTGTCCGTGGGTTCAAAGAAGAGGGGCTAAGGGGGGCTGACAAAAAAATGTCCCTCACTCACGACACTATCTACCGGGCGTTGATAAAATTCTACCACGGCACCGATCGTCTATCATCTCGGGCCTCACAATGCTCCTGCACCGTCTCCTACGGGCCCAGCATCCGAATCTTTATTGTGTATTGTCCCGGCCGACTCTTTAGGGGCCTTATGAATGGACGCGCACGACACCCGGCCACGTACTTATCTTACGCTGCCATCTAACCTTCCCTGAACTTCCGTGGACGATTCATTACTCGCGTTATTAATGGTCCCTCTTACTATCTTAATAGCCGCGCGCCACCCCCCTCGGCCGCCCTACCCCACCACGTCCGCGAACTACCTACCACCTTACTGGAGTTAACCGTAGTCACTTTTCTTTCTACACCCTTTACGCCTGTCCTGCTACCCCGTACCGACCTACCCCCTTGCTACCCGCGTACTTTGCCCTGATGCTAAGTAACGAGTGTACGAGATATATATATATATTCAGTCGCGGAGGTCGTAGGTCGTACCACCCCCCCCCCCTCTACCACCAACCCTAAGTTGTCACGCAATACCCCGCAGTCACTTTAATTCCCACTACTCGTACAGAACCTTCCGACCACGTGACCCACCTCTCCCTCGCCTATAGAAATACTGTATACCTATATAGTACATGCAACGAATGATAAACGGCACGAAGTTTAATTCGAATGTTCCTCGTTTATAACCCGTAGGAATGATAACTAGTGCGGACAGCTGTACGTTACAGTCGGTAGATTCTTGCGGTCGGTGCTGGAGGTTGGGTGTACAGGACAGAGAGAAACCGGCCGAAGTGGTATGTTGTATGTGTATATATGCCTATGCTCGTTTGTCATATCATAGAGATCTGGACTAGGTATACCCAGTGACTTGGGTACCCGAATCATACCATACGTATTACCCAGGTAGAATTTTGGAGTAAAAAAATTTTGTCAAGGATCCTACGATATAATACAAATTTTATTTATCTTATCGTACGTCGGTCCTTTACGCTATGATAAACTGCTGCAGTGCGTTATTTGCATGTAATATCTTTCGAAGCGTCCCGACGCTCTTTTATTAGCCGTACGGAGTACAGAAAGGGGCGGAAGGACCTCATCCGCGCTTTACCTCAGGGACTTGGGTATGGCAATAGAAGCAATGGTGTAACGGGCAAAACGGAGGGTTCTTGTTTTCTTACCAAGGACAATATACAGTACGTACATAAAGAGAGGATAGAATATAAAGTAAAACAGTTCTTCTCGAGTGCCTCGTAAACGGCTGCATCTTCGGCTTCAGCAGCTTCCTCTTCTCCCGAGTCGTAAACTTCCTGACGTCCCGGGAAACGTATTCGGTTGCGATCCAATATTATTACGCTACCCTTACATAGTGACGTATACATACATTGCATTTTGCGTTGTCATGCGCAAACGGTGATCGAAGGTTTTTTTTTTCTACGGGAAAAAAAAAATTTCAAAAAGACATGACAAAATAATAATACCTCGATAAAAGAAAATAAACTGGTCCATCGACGGACGATCGGTACAGTCGTGATTTCCGGTTTCGCGAAGATCGATCCTAATGTCCGGTAGAAGTTAAACCTGCTTTGGGGTCAGAAGGTCGTGGCGCGTAAAGGTAATAATCTATCGGCGACCGCAGCGCCCCTGCCGCCGGTAAGTGAGATCTCTGCAATTACGCGGTGGCGGCGGCGGTGCCTTGTGCTGCGGTTTACCGTGGGCCCCTCTCTTAATTCCTCCCTATCCATATCGTAGCATAACAACACGACTCCCTCGCTTTATTATTAAAAGTTAAAACTCCGCTGGGAGCCGGCGGCGATCTTGCGGTGAGAACTTGCTCTGTCTTCTTCCCTGTGCAACCTCATCGTTTGAATTTTGCTCCCCCCCCTCTTTTTTTTTTTTTTTTTCTTCTTATCCCTCCACCCAAGTATCCTTCGTACCTCTTCTACTTAGACCCGTCCCTTCCTCTGCTACCATAATTTTCTTGCTCCTCCACCCTGTACTCGTCTGCTTTCGTCGCTCTTTGTAAACTCCCACTAAACTCTACCAGGTACCCGGCTATAACGTAGCGTGAATCGTGAACGCACTTGGTAGCGTTGGTATCAACATTGAAGTATACTATATATATATTGTCGTTGAGCATATACTATATAAATATATTCAATGGGCGAATTCTGTTTAATTCGAATACAAGCCCCGAACGGGCATTCCAGATACACTCGAATAAACCAGACGGCTCCCCGACTGACGTTCCTATCCAGATTTGCAAATAGCGATTCGGCACTGAATCCGAGTCGAATATTCAAATCGAGCCTCGAGCTTTGGCGTGTATCTATGTACGTGCGAATCGACGGACACGGCTAGGAGAGCGATCGCGAAAATCGGTCCGGGTTAAAATGAAAATTGAAAGGGCGCGCCGATTGGCCCGGCGAAGGGCGGGAGGGAGGGAGGGCTCACTTATAAAACAGCGTCGATGAAATTTCCATATTGCCGGCAATAAACGCCCGACGAGCTGTATAAATTTGAATGGCATTAAACGTCCTGGCCCACCGGTATACAGTTGACAGAGCACCGAAGGCGACGTTACGTTTCGTAACTTTCCCATCGACGAGGCAGCCCAGGGCTTTTAGCGCTTTCCGAAAAAGTGTCTGGCGGGACGCGAAGGCTGCCGGGGGATCTAACGGGGGTGCTGAAAGTATGGGACAATTTTCGGGACTCGGGCTATCGAATCGTGAATACCCTTACGCACGTGATTTACGTTCCCAGACGCTGCTTGTATATATATTTAAGTCTTATGCGTCCTTCTCAATGGAACGATCGCATTAAGAGGCCATACGTACGCATGACGTCGTTGTCGACAAATAAAAAGATCACGTCCAGTAATGCGAAATCGAGACGCCTCGACGGTCGATGTTCACGTTGGCCACTGGAGAGGCCGACCAAGTGGTGTATACATGTGCGTATGGTGTTATGGGAGTCGTGGTTTGAAAAGAAATATCCCCCCTTCAGCCCTTCCGTCGACTTGGGATACTGCGGGGCCTCCCGATTACGTATTATGCTAAACACGCGAAAATGGCTTTTTAAACAGAACATCTATATTTATGTAGTCAGCCAAGACTCCGAAATGAAACTGCGCTAAATTAAATGCAATTTTCGTTGGGGCATGCATAACAAATTATTGATTGGAGGAACGTCTTTATAGTTTGCGATACAGGTTGGGCTAGTAGGGGGGTCGGGTGGTGGGTTACTTTGGTAAACCAAAGGCGAATGGACCCTTTACTTTTTACTTGGTTCCTCGTCGATATTACATTCCAATTATTTTGCCTGCATAATTCTGCCCGTAAGCACTTACCGTCTTCTTTACTCGTTTGGTATTTGCCGTGGATCTTGCACCAGGAGCCGGTCGACCGTTTTTTCGGATTTATTATTTTTGAGTGGTTGATGAAAAAAAAAATCGACTAAAATGTGACCACGTGTCAATTGGACTGTAAAGAAAATTTTTTAACACGTCAATGGCGATTAGGTAGTTTACGATTTTGAAATTGCCGCCATTATGGAGAACACTGAGAAATTTAATGTATCCCTTGAAATTACTCAGACTTTTTTTCAACGGATCTATGTATATCGCCTGTCTAACTTTAATCTTCTTTTCTGTTTCATGTGCTGCTGCTGGACCGATCAGGATCCATCTTCCGTGAGTAAAAACGTAAAGTAGCTTGAACGAAGTAAAAAAAAATATTAATCTTTTTTTAAATTATTTCATATTTTCACACTACTTACATTCATCCTGGACATTGATTACCGGCACTGCAATCACAGGGCGTGAGTAAAAAATTTTATAATTAAATTAATTGAATTGATATGATATATTTTGTTAGTTGGGAGTATATATATACATATACTATTTATGCATACTTCCTGTACCCATAAACAGATTTAACCCACGATCGATCCCATGGACCGAGTCTATGGAATAAATCGGGTATCGACGAATCCAAGAGTTATTAATTTGAAATGATGGAACGATAACTGACGTCTCTATAGTAAGGGTGGCTGGGGTCCGCGTCCCGACGGGGGTCCCAGACGTCGTCGGAGACATCAGCGCCGCGGGCGGCCATTGTCTCAACCAAAGACTAGAACCCCAAACAGAAAAGGCAACCTCGCTGACACGCCCGAGGGGGTCCTAGACACCCCATCGCGGTTCTCCAAAATTAATAACCAAAATCGAAATTCAAGTGGGAACGTCACTTATCACGATATTCATTCCCTATATTCATCCATAAGAAAGTCGCATAGCTATAATAATATTTTTAAACAAAAGAAAAAAGTCATACACGAGCCACCCCGATAGTTTTCCGTGTATACCAATACCTGCGTCTAAACGCACGTAACTGTGCTCTGAAGCCGCGTACGAAATAAATGTATAAATTATGAATGTAAATCGTGAAGCAAATCCACGAGGGTCTCTCTAGGTGAGAGCCAAGGGCCTGCCGTGGTAGTAGACTCGGTGCCGTAGCGTGAGCTCCGATCCGCCGCCTATACGCCGGCTGATTAATACAGCCCGATAAAACAACGGTTGGATATTTTACGTTTCACCGAGAGACGTTTTTATAACTTGTTTACACGGTTTCGTGGTCGATTTATAAAGCAAAACTCGCCGTTAAACTCTTCCCACAGTTTTGTCACCGTGCCCGTACAAGTATTACGGTACAAGGGAACCGCCTAGTGGGGATCCAGCTACGCGGTCTCCCGGCTATCCTACGGGCTATCCCGTCGAGAGAAGCCTGATCGCCGGGACACGCGATAACTTAATCCTCCCGTTAATTAGTACCACGTGTCACCGAACGCATCCTTCCACGGACATTTTTCATCCCGGCAGAACAAGGCTTTCCCAACCATATAGATTCGGAGGGATATCTATATAGCTGTGTATTCCATGCAATTAGGCATACAGCTAGGACCGTGTTGAGGTATGTCTGTTATGTGATATTTCATACACATATATATATATATGCGTGACGCGTACGATGCTTACAGGCGTAAGAGAGAGGGTGCTGAGGGCTGGATCCAGTTTGACTTTTGGATTTCCGGTCTCAACGGTTTTCAATTCTTAATATATATATATATATATATATATATATATATATATATATATATATTCATCTACCTACCTAATATCTACTGGGTATCACGAGGCGCTATAAGCGGGCAATTAAAAGCGTACAGCGGGGACATTTATGTCGGCACTAACTGGCCATTAAGACGAAGGAACCACCTAACCGAGGATGGTGTAATTGGCCAACGTGCTGAATCCGCAGCTCGTAAAACCCACCGGGCGTTCCAGCCTTTTTTTAGTTTTTCCTCCCCTCCCAGGCGACACCTATATAACGTTTCGCGAATTCATCCCGATTCCGTGCTCGTCCGAGAAGCTCGTTACTCTTACGTATACACGTGGTTTTCGGGTGATCCGTGTGGGTAACCAGAATGGTCCAGCTGTAAGAAAAATTTATGATCGTCGCCGACAGTGGTACTTTTTTCATACCCTGTAGAGGGAGATGACGCAATAACGACTTCACACGGTAAAATCAGTCCTGAAATCATTTTTCCTCCGACTCGGCATTATTTTCATATTTATAAAGGATCCTGGCTATTATCAACCGGATATTATACACGCCTGTCGCTTTCCCTTCTGATACGCGTTGTTACACGTGTAAACGCATAACTATCGCGATGCATTTAATTAGTGTACGCAACCCACCGGCAGATGTCGGTAATCGCTATTTGGGATTCGTAATGACGATTCTGTCAGTGCGAACCGACGTTGACCAATCGGGAGGAAGTTGGTCGTTCGTACGAGGACTGCCTTAAGGATGGTGAGTGCAGAAAAGGTAGAAAGTGCGAGTAAACGTTTTTCGTTCTGTCTCAATGTGAATTCGTGTCAGGGGCGAATGATTAATCGTTAAGTCGAAAAACACGTGGTACCCGATACTACTTACCACGTGATTATTTTTTTTCCACTCGCAGAAGCCCATAGCGCTAGTTGCAAATTACATCCCGCCTGCGATATACAGACGATCACGCTCATTACGGCAGCTGTGGCTTCGCGTGTCATTATTTTTATTAGCATAATGACAGCCGTACAACTTAATTTGCATGGGAAATCATATGGCCAACGAAAAGTTCGCATTACCGGAGTAGTGTCTTCTTCACGGATGCAACAATGTAAAGATAGGCCTTGCCGAGTTCGCTCCGATGAGAACATACATCAGACCCTTCGGAATACGACATTACTACACGCGATGTGGCAAAAATACGTTTTTTCGGGCAAGTCGAAGTAATTTTCGCCAAAATTGGCCGCGATTTAAATTTTCGGGATTTTTCACTCTCATCATCCTCCTCTTGAATTATCTATGATGGAAATCAATTTTTTTTTTTTTTTTCTCAACCATCTGTGGTTAAGAATTTTCGATTAATCCTATATCCGCTACGAGTGCGAAAGAGATAGACTTATGGACATCCATAATATCGTTTAACCCTTTTTCTTTCCATCATTCAATTACCCGGTATCGGTTATAATAGTTCAACCTCGACATATACAAATTTCGTAAAGCTACGACTAATGGCTAACGCGTGACAGCTATTCATTTGGACTGTCGCACTGGGACCGTGCAAGCTCAGTATTATAATCTCTTGTAAAACGAACCCTTGTTCAAGGGTGTAGGGGGTCAAGGGGGAGACCCCAATTGGCGCTATTCGATTGCCCGGCTTGGCGTTAAAGATCGCGGCTGCTATCTCGCGATAGGGATCTAAAATATTATGTAAATAGAGGCGTGCATTAAAGCGCGGATGAGATCCTTGGGTCTCATGCAGGGAGAGAGAGAGAGAGAAAAGAGTCAGGGCAAAGGAGCGATGTATAAAAAGCGCATAAAATAACATTTAGCGCGGGCTTTAACAAAATTGCTGTAATCCCGCGAGGGAAGCGCGAGAGCGAGGCCGTCCTGTAGTTGGCATTAACATACCGATTTACATAATGCGTATAATTCAAGTAATTATGAAGGGAAATATACACAATTTAATATAATGGTAGATGTTTAGGGGTCGCCTCTATCTACCAGAAAAGATCTGACTCCCTTGGATATATATATATATACATATTTCGTATACCCAGATACCACTCGAATTCTACCCTTGCCAGGTGCCTGGACCGATCGGTTGAACTTTGCCCCGTACTTTGTAGAATAAATAAGAAAAGCCAGAATTAAACGATAGAAAAGTTTGTAGGTTAACCCGTAATGCGTCCAATGTTAGACGCTATGTTACAGGTAGGTTTGGTAGGGGAACCTCTACTGTACCTGGCTGTAATATGGATTACTGTGTCTGTAGGATATAAACCATAACCGAGTGTCAGCTCGTTACGCATATACGTAGATCTATACTGTATATCTATACAGCAAGCCTCGCACGACCGATATACACGTACCGAACCTCCTGGTAATTCGTAGCCGACCCGTTATTAATTGCTTTTGTGTTAAACCGGCAATTTGAATTTCTAACGCGAAGAGCGAGCCTAACTGCCCAGTCCGAGGCAAACCTGCCCTGCCTTGGCCCGTACTCTAATGACGAAGCATCTTCGCGCCTCCCTCCCACCTGCCAGACGTTGATGAATATAATCGGCCTTCTAATATATTTTAATTTATGTTTTCACCTGAGAAACGCGCGCGTTGATTTCCCTGTCCGACCGCGATGCGACTGACCACGCAACCGTACGCACTCGGTATACGCACCTACATCCAGCCCTAATTCATACACGTGCATTATTACCGGCACTACGAGATACCTGAATACTCAATCCTCGTAAAAGATGAATTATAAAGACGGGAAAAAAAAATTAACGTCCCTGGAAATTGTTTAAATATTTTTTTTCGCGAAAAAAAATGCATTTGGGTATTTCGAAAAATTGTGAAATTTTCAAAAAAAAAATTTTTTTTTACACCTACATACTCCTGTCATTCCCCGTTTTTCGGCCCACCCGGATACCATCTGCCGCCATTTAGAACGCGGAGAGACCCACGTGTCCTCTGTGACAAAAGACTGAGGTCAATTCGTGACATTTAATTCGCTCGTGCTCGTACGAGCGTCCGACCCAGCGAAATGCAGGACGGAATCAGCAGAGGGAGGTCAGTTTGCCACGGTATCTCAAGATCTATCTGAATAATAACGTGTACGACAACATGTCAAATTATACAGAGCCGCGAGCTAATACGTGTGCGTAACGCGGGCACGCAACGCGCACGCACTGCCGGCTGCGTGTTGACCGTCACTCGTTTCTCGTATCGGTCGACATGTGTTCGCGCGACGACGTTACACAGCTTTATAATTGCCACTGATATTAAAGCCGTTGCGAGATTCAAGAAATTACAGCGTAACGTGGGCCGCAGGGTAAAATCCTTTTTTTTCTTTTTTTTTTTTTTTTCTTTTTTTTTCATTACCACGATATTCCAATTTACTCATACGTACACTCCCTTATTATCATTCGCTACCCCAGGCTCCCCCCTGCTTGGCTCTGAGTGACCAGTGACAATTAAATCACACACCTCGTCGACAATGATGGATCGTATTACCCTTTACGTACCTCGTGTACGCCACTTTTTTTTCTTTTCCTCGGAAATTTCCACAATTTCTACATATACCCCCG